TAGTACCAGGGGTCAAACTCAGGACCTTGGTTCTTGTGAGGAAGATGGCAGAACCACTGAGGCCAAATCCCCAGCCCTTCCTTCTGTTCTTATGAAGGTCAGATTATCCATCAGAGTTGAGATTGGAATATTTGTTTTATTTTTTTTCACATTGAGTTTATTGGTACTTTTTAGGTATACAGTACGAATATTTTGTTTTAAAACCATGAATTATTTGTATCTTAAAGGCATGATAGAATTTGTTTTATGTTTGTTTATTTATTTATTTAGGTACTGGGGATTGAACTCAAAGCCTTGTGCTTGCAAGGCAGGCACTGGCACCACTGAGCTAAATCCCCAGCCCGGATAAAATGTATTCTTAAATCTACTTATAGGCCTCATGCCTTTTAAAAGAGTGGACCTTTGAAGGTCTTTTAATGTCTTATAGTCTGATTTGTTTCCATTTTTTACCTTTCTCCAGTTTGATAATTGGTATTTTCCTAGAAAATCATCTATTTAACTAGATATTCAAATAGTTTTTTCTTTATATTTCCTTTTGTCGCCACATCTGTTAATTTATCTCATTCCTAATGTTATTTGTCTTGGCTTTTCTTAATCAGAGCAGTCATGTGTTTATTTTTATTAGTGTTTTGAAATAGCTAGCTATTGGCTTATTGATTAAATCTCATTTATTTGTAGTTTTGATTTATTCATTTCTGTTTTCCTTTTTATCAATTTCTTCTTTGTATTTCTGTATTTCTCATTACCTTGTAAATTTTGGTCTTTTCTGATTCATGGCAGTTTTTTCATACTTCTCTTTACAAAGCCCCTCTAACCTTTTTTTTTTTTTTTCTTTCTTTCTTTCTTTTTGGTTTGGTGGTGGGTGCTGAGGGATTCAGACCTTGTGCATGGTGAGCAAGTACTCTACCACTTAGCTACATCCCAAGAAGGCCTCTTTTGCCCTTTTTTAATGAGAGGATTCTTTAGCTTTAACTTTCTGCACATTATATTTTCTCCCGCCCCCCCACGGTTCTTTTTGGAAGTTAGTGCTTCTGCTTGTTGAATTTGGTGAATCTTATTCATGGTGCTCATTTTCACAAATGTTTGTTTATATTTGTAACATAAGGGTCTAGTTTAAATATATTAGTTTTCTTTCTCAAATAAGAATTCCATTAAATCTAGGCTCTGATTAAAGGATCTGTTCTCTTGTGATTTTGGAGGAGGAAAGGAAGAAACTAGCAGGTGGCTCATCTTTAAGATTTGAGACTTTCCTTTCTTGTTGAATTCTCAAGTACATTGGGGACACTTCTCTGCTTCTCTGGCATTTGCCCAAATTTGCAAGGCTCCTACTGCAAAAAGCTGCTTATTTCATATATGAAACTTCTACGTGTTCTAGAATTGTCTTGTGATTATCCATATCTGAGTAATTATTATATATTTATGTTTTACTATTTGGTGACATTAATTTTCTCATGGCTCTTTTCTCTTTTTGTTTTAAATTATGAAGGTACTTTATTTGATTTGGGAAGAAGGAACTTCTGGTGGGGAAAAATAGTCTCTTCTTTCAAAAAAAAGAAAATCCCAAGAGGGGAAATTTGTGTTAAAAAACATAATAACTTAACTCTTTTGTATAAATTCTGCAGTATCTCTCTTTTTGTAAATCAGGACTCGGCTCATTTGTTATCCTTTATTTAAATTTTCTTATACTTTTCTCTTTTCATGTGCTTTTAGGGTAATATAGTTAGAACTGTGTATTGCATTTTAGTTTGAAATCCACCAAAATGTACAAATTAATTAAGAATGATTACAATTTCATAATGTTCAAGATTTCTTTTCAGGACATAGGATATTGGCAAGTTTGGCAGGGCTTTAATTAAATTCCATAAGACCAAGAATTAGTAACAATTTATGACAATCTTCAGAGTAGCTAAGTGTTGGCATCTTTAACAATCTCCACCACTTTTCTACCCAGTTTAATAAACACCATAATAATAATAATAATTGGGTACTTCAAGAGTCCATATAGATGCATTATCAGATCTGTCCTTGGCCTCCATACCTGGAAAGACTTCCCACACAGCTGCCTCGGCCCTTCAGGTCACTAGAGATTTGCCTCTTCAGGCTGGTTGGCCTCTCCTCCATGGTCTGGTCTGTTAGCTGAACTCGGATGCTGTAACCTCTAGTCAAGACACGGGTGGCCAGGTGGCCGGGGGTCCTTGGCATGGTGAGCTGGCAGTTGCTGGGCCCTGTGGGCCGGCATGGCGAGCCAGTTCTGTAGGTATGTGTGGGACCCATTGCTGATCCTGTTGCAGATTGTCCTTGTGTGGTCTGTCTGTTATGGCTCACTGGGTCTGTGGCTGGTGCTGGTGGATGCTCTAGTGAAAAGCAGCCCATCGCTACACCAGATATTGATACCGACATTCTGGGCTTCTCCACCCCTCCAGACTGGCTCTCCATGATGTCCTTCATCCTCAGCACCTTTACCTGTTACCTGGGCTTGCTGTATTTCATCCTCCGAGGGAAGCAGTATCTGGATTTCACTGTTACTGTCCATTTTTTTCAACTCTTGGGCTTTTGGCTCTACAGCTCCTGTTTTCCTTCAGCGTTGACCTGGTGGCTGATCCAAGCCATGTGCATTGTACTCATGGTTGTTATTGTGTGTGTGCATATGGAACTCAAGGAAATCCCCCTCAACTCAGCCCCTAAATCCAATGTCTAGAATTGGGCCCTTTGCACACTCACCTGGCACTTGGGACTCCTAACACCTTGGGCTTCTCAGACTTTCCAGATGAGGCCCAGCCCAAGTCTGAGAGGAAAGAAATACAAAGTCTGTTGATGGAGAGATAGCAAGGCCCCATCAAAAAGGCAGGTAGCAGCCAGGATCACAGCTGCAAGGATGGCCTCTGTCTCTCAAACCTTGGTATTGGAAGGTCAGGAAAGGGACCTCTTTGAGAATAATAACAGATTTGGAATGATGTTACTCGAGCCATCATTCCTTTCACCAGCTTTATTGTTTGTTTAAAAAAGAAAAAGAATCAAGAATATCTGATTGGGAAAAAAAATCAAGGATATCTGGTTGGAGCAAACCACTCCTCTAGTCATCTGCTTTACTCCCCTGGGACAGCTGTTACCTTTTCCGAGTTGCCGAACCGCAGTGATTCTGTTTGGAGAAAAACTGGATATCCAGATCCTTAGTCACAGAAAGAAATGTAAGTGCAAAGTACTAGGGTGCTGTCAGGGAGAGGATGGCAGATAGAGACATCAAGCTCAAGGAGGACAGACAACCTGTGCCCTGTTACACACATGTATGCACCCAAGAATACATGACTAACTGCTCTCCAGTCCCTCTACTGGGTCCCCATCATGCTGCCAGCTCGCTACATAGGCTATACAACCCAGAGAAGAACCCCAGCATGACTTCCATCTGACCCTCCAAACAGGGTCACTGCCTGTTCCTTAGGAAACAGGCTCCCACTGGACCTCAGTTCTGGAAGGAGTTCCTTTTTCCTGACCTATTTGGAATTCTCTGGTGGGAGAGTCTGATGGGTGTCCAGAGATACGAAGTTCAGCTTTCCAGCCTGATTTCTCCTGGAAGAGACACAAATTTGCTGTGAACTTTTGTCTTTGGGGTAGAATTTCCTCTGTGAGGGCCTTGCAGCTGTCCTTTCTATATACATAAATATAGTATCCCCCCAAAAAAAAAGTCATCAATACAGACTTTTTTAGAAATCTTCAGTACACCTGGGAAGTTGAGCACTAAATATTTGATAATATTAAAGAATTATTGTTAACTTTTAGCTATGTTAAAAGTATTTTGGTTATATTACTTTTAAAGTGTCTGATCATACACATACACACTGAGATATCTGGAATTTGCTTCAAGTTTCATGAAGAGGAAAGTACAGTATATAGGGGCATCAAACAAGATGGTCCATGAGTCACTAATTGTTGCAGTTGATCATTGTTGGGTTTATTATACTATTCTGTTTCCTTTTGTGAATGTTTGAAATTTCCCACAACAAAAGATAAAAATACAAATTTAGAATGGTAAAGCAAAGAAATATAACGAATCATAAGTAAAGCTAAGTACCTTGATAGACATGGTGCAAAAATATTTTTGAAAATTGATTCTGTTGTATCCTGTCCACTTAAACTTGTTTTAACCACATTGTACTCTTGTTCACCTTTTTACTTCCAAAATTGTAAGTCATTTACACATACTAAGTAGGAGTATGCCATAGTTTCATCATCAAGGTTTGGTTTTGTCTGAACTTTTGTCATTAAGTATAATATTAGCTTTAGGATTTTTGTGGGTACCTTTATCAAGTTGAGGAATTTCTCTTCTGTTCCTACTTTGATAAATGATTCTTGTGTCATGAAAATGTTTTTGGATTTTGTCAAATGTTTACCTGTGTTTCTACTGGATGTCATTTGCTTTTTGTTCTTTGTTCTGTTAATATAGTATTTTTATTAAACCATTTCATATGTTTAATCACTCTTGCATACTTTGGGTAAATTGTACTTGGCATTTGTGTTCAACCCTTTTTATATGTTCCTGGATTCATTTTGCTAATATTCTGTAAAGATTTTTGTATCTGTGTTCATAAGGGATGTTAGTTGTAATTTTCTTGTGATGTCTTTGGGTTTAGTGTGAGAGTAATAGATTTTGTAGATTGAATTGAGAAGTATTCCCTCTGGTATTTTTTGGAAAAGTTTGTGAAGTATTGGTTTTAATTATTCTTCGGGTGTTTGGTATAATTTACCTGTGAAGCAAGTTATGGACTTGTCGGAAATTTTTTGATTACTAAATCTTTTTTACATTTTATAAGTCTATTCAGATTTTCTGTTTTCTCTCGAGGAGTGTTTTCAAATTTTAAAAACAAAGCAAATACAAGTATATATAAGATGTAGTCTGATACGATTTTTTTCAAAAATTGTTAATATCTTTTTATCTGTATTATTTTATAGTTTTCATAATGGCCTGAAATTTAAGTTTTGCTTTTTTTATGTTGTTATCTCAGCAGCAATGCAGCAAGTCTTGGAAAACCTTCCAGAGCTGCCCTCATCTACAGGAGCAGAAGAAATAGACTTAATTTTCCTCAAGGGGATTATGGAAAATCCTATTGTGAAATCACTTGCTAAAGTATGTATATTGGCTTATCACTAAGATTACTGAATTATTTTGAAAATGTGTTTTTGCAAAAGTAGAACAATATTGTTATTTTAGAATGTCATTGGTGTACCTAGTGATAGTTAACAAATAATAACACTTATCACATAATGAAAACTTAATGTAGGATATGCAGAAATGAGGCAAGTATTGCTCTTTCTGTTTTGTCTTTACAGAATGATTTAACTTTTTGTTTTCTTATACTGTTAAAATTTAGAGAAATCAGTAGCACTGTTGTGTGATAACAGGGCCTGTGGAAAAAATCCTGGACTTATCTCTGTTTTCAACAGCAAGTTATTTTCTTATTTTAAGTTACAATCTGTACCATTTTTCATTTAAATTCATTTATGTACTACATTTTGGAAATTTTATTTATTCTTGCATAGCTCTGGTCTGTTTCCATAGTCAACTCTTGAGCAATCTCTTTAACTCATTTGTAAACTCTGTGTGTGTGTGTGTGTGTGTGTGTGTGTGTGTGTGTGTTAGGGATTGAATTTGGGACCTTGTGCTTTCAAGGCAGGTGCAGTGCCACTAAGCTAAATCCCCAAGCCCTATAAACAATTTGTAAGCACTATTTATAAGCTTTTATAAACATTATTTGGTTCAGTTTCACTTTATACTCTTTCCCCATACTAATTTTAATAAACATCACTGAAGCTTAGTGTATTACCTTTTTCGCAATCCTGCTATCCCACACTGTAGAATTATCCCAAATGAGTCTTACTTTCAACAACCTATGCCACATGGTCTCTCTGACCTTTCTTTTATATAGCTATTTTGTCATTTGTTTTGCTTTAGCATTCCTAGAATGTTGATTTTACTCTCTTTTGTGGTCTTTCTTTTTTTCTTAGCTAGTCTCTTATCTTGTATTCTTTTAAGACTTCTGAGAAAATGTACCTTTTATAAAGTTTCCATTGGTAAGAGTTAATTAATGATGCAGATTCTTCATTTAGTTGCTCATGCTAGATTCACATGGTATAAAGGCTAATAAAGTAATAGCTCAGGGCCTGTTGAAATAAGTAGGAGCCTATACTTATGGCTTATTCTGGGTTTGTATTAGTACTTTAAAAACAGTTTTCACACTTCTGTTGATATCATACTATTGATTGTTAGTTATTATTATCCATGAATCAGTTGCAAAGCTCCTCCATTATTTAAAAATGTGTGAATTTTGATCTGTGTATTTAGAAACTATAATAATATTTGTAAAGCATTTTACAATAATGATTATCAATTATGAAGGTTTTTATACTGTTCTGTTTTGTAACTTTTTTGAACTTAAAATATACTGTTTTATCTTTGTAACAACTTTATGAATTTAAAACTAAGATCTAAAGTAAATAAATGGTTTACTTAAGGTCATTTTTCTAGTAAATGACAGAGAAAAAGGTTAGAACATGTGTTATATCTACATTCTGTGCTCAGTCTACTACAACACAGGGTGTTTGAATGTATGTGTATTTATTACTAACAACTTCTGTGGATAAAAATTTATTTTATGCCACTGTTTTCATTATGAGTAATTGAAATGTTTGAATAACTTTTTGAGCAGATAACATACAACCATATGCTTGTTGATTAAAAATGAAATGAAAAACAAAGTCACCCAATAATATCTATTGGGTGATAATAATATCTATTCAGGCAGTATCTCAACAACAGAAAACATCAGTAGTTATGTTCAGTGTAGAAAGAAATCATAGAAATAAGGGAGGACCTTGATGGTAAATTCTGTTAAACATTTAAGGAAGAAATAATACTAATTTTATATGATTTCTTTAAGAAAAAAAAAGCAAGGGAACATTTGCTGTGTTGTCTTATGAAGCTAGTATTACCCTAGTTATCAAAACTAGCTAAAGATATTTCAAGAAAAAAATACAGAACAGTGTCCCTGATGAACATAGATTTAATTTTAAATTAAGAAAATATTAACAAAACAAACATACCAGCATAAAAAAAAGATAATACCTCATTACCCAAGTTTGTTTTGTTTGAAGAAAAAATAAGATTGTTCTAATATTTCAAAACTAATCAGTATATGTCACCATTTTAACAGACATGATAAAAAAAACATTTGATCATGTTAATACTTTCAGGAAAAAAATTTTATGAAGTTGAGTATCTGTTCCTGATTGAAAAAAAAAAAACTACTCAGAAAACTTGGAATAAAGGGAAACTCCCTGAAATGGATAAAGGGTGTCTATTTAAAATCCTCACCATATTGTAATTCATGGTGAAAGATAGAATGCTTTTTTAAAGAACAGAGATGGGTAAGGGTGTCCACTTTGATCACCTCTATTCAGCTTCCCAGTGGAGTGAAGCTAGTGCAAAAGGGCAAAAAAAAAAAAAAAAAAAAAAAAAAAAAAAAAAAAA